TGACTAAGCCCACTGTCCAGTTGCTGGAGAGAGTGCTGTGGACATTGGTTTATTGAGCTGCTGACGGGGAATGGAAAGAGGTCATCTGTTGCCACCGGAGTGAGTGAGAGATCACTGTCCAACCCTACATCTTGTAAAAAGGAACAGCATTGCTCACATGGATCACCATGCAAGAGCCTTTACCAAGGTTTGGAAACTTTGCCCTAAGCATTCCAACATCAGATTTGGGCCCCAATGTGCTGGCCAGGGGGAAAATGGCTTTATTTTAGATTGCTGAACTATTATAGTGGTGCTACTCTCTTTAGTCAGGATTACCCCTAGCATAGGGTTTGGGGACTAATCTCTGTTCCACTTGCTGTCATTAACTGTATATCTTAATTGCCATTGTTCTGCATGCTACTGTTGGGATACTATATATATATTTCCCTTCAGCCCAGGTGTGTCAGAGGGCTTGGAACTACTTGCAGAGTTGTGGACTCAGGAAACAGAGGACCAGGGAAGCAATGGCTCCTTCAGGGATAAATGCCACACAAGTCATTAGATAGGGTGGCTGCATTGGATTTCATTTTTCAGGCTAAGTCCATTTTAGCAAGTACATAAAATGTTACCTGTTGGTCTTAAGAGAAATGCAGTGTCCTTATAATTACCTGTTAGAAGAACAGAAAACAAAACAATCTTATCTTTCTTTTCTAAACTGCTAATCTCATCAACCCCCATGTAATGAAGATGAACAAAGGCACACATGTTGGAAGTCCATCCTAGGTGACAACGATGGTGACCTACATAAATACAGTGGAGGAGTGAGTGCAGCCACCCAGGACAGGGAGTGTGTGGTTTGCAGGGCTATTAGGTTTTAATAAATGGGAAAAAAATTTAAATGAAAAAAACTTAATGCAGCCACCACATCTAAGGGTTGGTGACTTGTGATACATTAGATTTTGTTTTTGAGTTTAGATACAATTAAAAACCCACTGCAGCTGACGAGTTGGTGTCACAGGGATGTGCAAAACTGTTGTGCTTTGTACTTGCCTTTGTACAGTCTAAGAAGATTGCAGCATAACTTGTGGAGTGCAGATATTTATTTGGACCACATTGAAAGTAATTACATAGCTAAAATTGTTTCACTTTTTAAAAAAAAGCATCTGTGTTGCACTTTGGGAGTTCCCCTCATATTCTGTCTAGAAAAAAGCTTGTCCTGGGATAGTGAATAAGGGAAAATCCCTCTATGAGCTGGTTCACATATATGTGAATTGGTTGCATTTTGAACCGCATCCAACTTCTATGATATGAAATAACATTGGTTTCTATTGTGCCTGTTCACATATATGCGGTGCGACCGTAGTGCAGTGCGTGCGATTTGAAAAAGAGTCCAGCTCAGGTGCGAATTCAGGCTCATTTACTTCTGCGGGAACAATTCTGAATCATACATGTCATCAAAACCCTGGCCTGATCCTGATCTAAACCTGAGCTGAACAGCTGAACAAGTACTTTGTCAATTAGCTAGGAAACATGGAGCTTCGATTCGCACCACACATGTGTCAATCCACACTAACAGAGCATCTGACAGCAAAAAAACCTGACAGGGGTTCTGTTCCTCCCCCATTCTATCCAAAAGTTAAAAAAAAAAAAAGTTTTGGCTATAGACACACATTAAAGGGGTAGTTCACCTTTTCAGAAAAAAATGAAAAGATGAACTAACACCCTACAACCTCCTCTCCCCCGCTCCCTGCTCCCCACTTACCTCCATGGTAAGATAGAGCTTCACCATCCACACAGCCCTGTGCAGTGATTCTGCGGTTCGAAAACTATGCTGTTCTTCCTCTGCTTTCCCCAAGATGGATCAGAGTGTTTTTGATTGGTCAGAACCAACAGACGATCATGCTGACTAACCATAGTCAGCATGATCACCTGTTGGTTCTGTGATCTGTCCCAGCTTGCCAGGATCCAAAAGGAAAAAGAGGAAGAACAAACCCCACTGCTGCACCAGGCTGCGGGGGCAATGAAACTGTATCACCCACAGTGGTAAGTGCAGAAGGGACCTAGGGGGCCGGGGAAGGGGGGGGGGGGGGGGGTTGTTAGGATGAAGGGTGCTGGATTGCTAGTTGACCATTTATTTTTTCCTGAAAAGGTGAACTTACAATTTAGAGTACGGTAGGTATTTTTTTAATTGATTCATGGGTTTTGGGTGCAGCCAGGGGAGAGGTGTATTGAAGACAGGCTTTAAGAACATTTAACCATTCAAATCACTCCGTACCAAGCTACAAATCCCCACCACAGAGTGCCAAATAATCAATTAGCGTATTTTTAGGCAGTGGACATGGGAAGGACATACAAACTCAATGCAGATAGTTTCCTGATACAAAATAAATCTGTGACTTCAGGGTTGCTAACTAAAGACACCATACGCTGTAGTCAAATAAGGTTTAAAAGAAAACTGCTTGTGCCATTGACATAGATACAACCAAGCAAACACCATTATTTTTTATGGGGCATGTCTGCTAGTTCCATAAATGCTTGTAATTTTGCCTTGTAAATTGGGAGTAATATTTTACAGTGGCTGTGTCATTGATACCGGCTATAGGGCTGATGATGGTTTGCCAGTTGCAATGAAAGATTAGAGATGAGCAAATCTGCCTGAGTTGGTCAAATCCTGCTTGAAATCGGCAAAACTGGAATAACCTATTAAAGTCTAAACTGGGGGAGGGGCAAATATTAATAATATGTTCTGCCCATTTTAAAAATAGACAAACTATTGTCCAAAAACACATGGAGAGCTATACAGTGCCTTAGGGGACATATAACACGTATCAATGAACAACATTTAAAATTATATATTCATTTCTACATTGTATTTCAATTATTTTTAGCTTACTCCTATTAATCTGAATGATCTTGAAATTTGTAGACTTACTTTGTGAAGATCCAAGCACATTTCCTTCATGTGACGCATGTTCACTAAGCCCTGTGAGGAAGCACTGTGGTGTCACACATTTCACAGAGCCTGCCTTCTTAACTACAGAGGGGCTGAGAGGAGGAGTTTAAGGAGGCGGAGTCAATACAGGAATCACTGCTTGCCGGACATAGTACAGGAGAGATGACCAGAGACTGTGAACATAGTACAGGAGATGACCAGAGACTGCAAACATAGTACAGGATATGACCAGAGTGTCAGGGCTCCGGGTATGACCAGAGGTATGTGAACTGACGCAGGGAAACGCAGGCTTCAGATATGTTATAAACAATATAATTTATTAATACTAACAATACAAAACGCAGTGCAATACTAAAACATAAACACAGTGCAAACGAACCAAACCACCCACAGATAACAATACATACAATGCAAGCGTAGTCAGGCAGGCCGGGTCAATAACAATCGGGCAGGTAGGAACAGGAGGAGCAGGCAGAGAGTAGTCAGGTCACGAGCCGGGTACAGCAACTAACGGGCAGGTAGGTACAGGGGGTCAGGCAGAGAATGGTCGGGGTAACAAGCCAGGGATCAAACAGGAGAAGTCAGCAGAGGTCAGGATCAGGCAGGGTCGGCAACGAGTCAGTCAGGCAGGAACAGGAACAGAAACAGGAATGCAGGTAACAAGATACAGGGGCCCATGGAAAAACACACACCAAGGCACAGACTGCAGGTCTGGCCATCCCTTAAATACACCTGAAAGCAGCCTCAGGTGTTTGGCTGACTGCAGGGTTGGGTCTCTGATTGCTGAGAGCACCCGCTGGCCAGCCCTGGTACTGCAGCCCACAAGGCAGGTGAGTCCCACCATTATTGGCAAGTCCATTCCTGACAGTACCCCCCCCCCCCCTCAAGGAGCGGCCTCAGGACGCTCCAAACAGTCCTAGCTGGGCAAAATGTTCCACCGCCCGGGACTGGTAACTGGCGGGATATCAAAGACTGACTGGCACATCGGGCTGGACTCCGGGCAGAGGCACGTCGGGCTGGACTCCGGGCAGAGGCACGTCGGGCTGGACTCCGGGCAGAGGCACGTCGGGCGGGCAGAGGCACGTCGGGCTGGACTCACGTCGGGCACTCCGGGCAGAGGCACGTCGGGCTGGACTCCGGGCAGAGGCACGTCGGGCTGGACTCCGGGCAGAGGCACGTCGGGCTGGACTCGGGCAGAGGCACGTCGGGCTGGACTCCGGGCAGAGGCACGTCGGGCTGGACTCCGGGCAGAGGCACGTCGGGCTGGACTCCGGGCAGAGGCACGTCGGGCTGGACTCCGGGCAGAGGCACGTCGGGCAGAGGGCACAGTCGGGCTGGACACCGGGCAGAGGCACATCGGGCTGGACACCGGGCAGAGGCACATCGGGCTGGACACCGGGCAAAGGCACACGGGCTGGACACCGGATCACCAGGTGGAGCAGCAGGCACCGGATCACCAGGTGGAGCAGCAGGCACCGGGCCCCCAGGCGGAGCGGTGGGCACCGGGCCCCCAGGCGGGGCGGTGGGCACCGGGCCCCCAGGCGGGGCGACGGGCACCGGGGCACGGGCCCCCAAGCGGAGCGACAGGCATCGGGCTCCCAGGTGGAGCGGCGGGCGCCAGGCCCCCAGGCAGAGCTGCGGGCGCCGGGCCCCTAGGAGGGGCGGCAGGCACCGGGCCCCCAGGCGGAGCGACAGGCACCGGGCCCCCAGGCGGAGCGACAGGCATCGGGCCCCCAGGCAGGCAGCGACGAGGCATCGGGCCCCCAGGCAGCGAGGCGGGCCCCCAGGCAGCGCAGGCATCGGGCCCCCAGGCAGGGCGGCAGGCACTGGACCCCCAGGCGGAGCGGCGGGGCACCGGGTCATCAGGCACGACAGCGGGCATCGGGTCACCAGGCATCAGGTCATTTGGCTCGCCAGCGGGCACCGCGTCATCTGGCAAGGCAGTGGGCACCGAGTCACAGGCACGACAGTGGGCTCCGAGTCAACTGGCATGACCGCGGGCACTGGGTCAGACATTGGATTGTCTGGCTCGACAGCGGGCATCGGGTCACCAGGCATCAGGTCATTTGGCTCGACAGCGGGCACCGCGTCATCTGGCAAGGTAGTGGGCACCGAGTCACCAGGCACGACAGTGGGCTCTGAGTCAATTGGCACGACAGCGGGCACCGGGTCATCAGGTACCAGATCGTCTGGCTCGACAGCAGGCACACGGGTCATCTGACGCTGGATCGTCTGGCTTGAAAGCGGGCATCGGGTCACCAGGCATGACAGCGGGCACTGGGTCATCAGGCATTGGATCGTCTGGCTCGACAGCGGGCATTGGGTCACCAGGCATGACAGCGGGCACCGGGTCATCAGGCATTAGATCGTCTGGCTCGACAGCGGGCATCGGGTCACCAGGTATGACAGCGGGCACCGGGTCATCAGGTACCGGATCGTCTGGCTCGACAGCGGGCATCGGGTCACCAGGCATGACAGCGGGCACCGGGTCATCAGGCATTAGATCGTCTGGCTCGACAGCGGGCATCGGGTCACCAGGTATGACAGCGGTCACCGGGTCATCAGGTACCGGATCGTCTGGCTCGACAGCGGGCATCGGGTCACCAGGTATGACAGCGGGCACTGGGTCATCAGGCGTGATAGGATCATCAGGCTGGGTACAGACATCAGGCTGGGTAGAGACATCAGGCTGAAGTGCGGGTGCCGAGGCACCAGGCTGAACCACGGAAGGCAGGTTCTCAGACGCAGGCTCACTGGTTTGGATACTGGCAGGATGGTACTGGTTGGAAAGAATTTTCGCTTTTTTCTGGTTTTAACTACTGGAGCACTGCAAGTAAACGCAGGTCTGCAAACGAATGGAGCAGCTGAGGACAGAGAAGAGCTGGAAGATGGAACAGAGGAGGGAGCAGCCACCACAGAGGACCTCTCCACAGGGCCAAAGAAAGGATAGGTGCAGCGAGTGGGAGCAGGGGACTGGTATGTGGTAGTTAGCAGAGTATACTGGGCCGTCACTGGGGGTGCTGTCGGGGATGCAGGAAGAGTGCCTTGAGCAGAGGAATGACGTTGCAAGCTGACTGAGGCTGGGTGCAACAAGTCTGACCATGTCTGCAGTATGGGTTGAACAAAGCTGAGCTTACACAAAGCCTGTCTGGTCAAAGACTGCACTCGATTTATACAATCCCTTAATACCTGTGGTGAACATGCAGCATAATGCTCCAAGAAGCAATCCACATCATCCTCTAATAACCATACCAGGGACTCTACCTGGTCTGCACTAAATGGTGTCAAAAAGTCATTCCTGCTTTCAGGGGTACCAGATGAAGCCAACTCTACACAAACCTGAATCAAAGGTTGCACCTCAGAGAACTCTGTGCCCTGATCTACTAGAACATGAGCGATCCGTATACATTCTAGCAGTTGATCCCGGGTATACTCCCTCAGAGTCTGATAAGCATATTCTCTGTCATCAAAAACCAGCAGCGACAAATACACAACCTCATCAAGATCCATCCTTCCCAGCAACAAGCCAAGATGGCTTCCCTGTGCAGCCACTTCTGGTCAGGATTGGCCTTGGTGTAATGTCAGGGCTCCGGGTATGACCAGAGGTATGTGAACTGACGCAGGGAAACGCAGGCTTCAGATATGTTATAAACAATATAATTTATTAATACTAACAATACAAAACGCAGTGCAATACTAAAACATAAACACAGTGCAAACGAACCAAACCAAACCACCCACAGATAACAATACATACAATGCAAGCGTAGTCAGGCAGGCCGGGTCAATAACAATCGGGCAGGTAGGAACAGGAGGAGCAGGCAGAGAGTAGTCAGGTCACGAGCCGGGTACAGCAACTAACGGGCAGGTAGGTACAGGGGGTCAGGCAGAGAATGGTCTCGGTAACAAGCCAGGGATCAAACAGGAGAAGTCAGCAGAGGTCAGGATCAGGCAGGGTCGGCAACGAGTCAGTCTGGCAGGAACAGGAACAGGAACAGGAATGCAGGTAACAAGATACAGGGGCCCATGGAAAAACATACACCAAGGCACAGACTGCAGGTCTGGCCATCCCTTAAATACACCTGAAATCCTGAAAAGCCTCAGGTGTTTGGCTGACTGCAGGGTTGAGTCTCTGATTGCTGAGAGCACCCGCTGGCCAAACCCTGGTACTGCAGCCCACAAGGCAGGTGAGTCCCACCATTATTGGCAAGTCCATTCCTGACAGTGAGACTGTGGACATGGTACAGGAGATGATGACCAGCGACTGTGGACATAGTACAGGAGATGACCAGAGACTGCGGACATACTACAGATGACCGAGACTGTGGACATAGTACAGGAGATGACCAGAGACTGCATAGTACAGGCGATGACCAGAGAATGCGGACATAGTACAGGAAAAGACCAGAAACTGCGGACATAGTACAGGAGATGACCAGCGACTGCGGACATAGTACAGGAGATGACCAGCGACTGCGGACATACTACAGATGACCGGAGACTGTGGACATAGTACAGGAGATGATCAGAGACTGCATAGTACAGGAGATGACCAGAGAATGCGGACATAGTACAGGAAAAGACCAGAAACTGCGGACATAGTACAGGAGATGACCAGCGACTGCGGACATAGTACAGGAGATGACCAGAGACTGCGGACATACTACAGATGACCGGAGACTGTGGACATAGTACAGGAGATGATCAGAGACTGCATAGTACAAGAGATGACCAGAGAATGCGGACATAGTACAGAAAAATACCAGAAACTGCGGACATAGTCAGGAGATGACCAGAGACTGCAAACATAGTACAGGAGATGACCAGAGACTGCGGACATAGTACAGGAGATGACCAGAGACTGCGGACATAGTACAGGAGATGACCAGAGACTGAAGACACAGTACAGGAGATGACCAGAGACTGAAGACACAGTACAGGAGATGACCAGAGACTGCGGACACAGTACAGGAGATGATCAGAGACTACGGACATAGTAAAGGAGATGACCAGAGACTACTGCGGACATAGTACAGGAGATGACCAGAGACTGCGGACATAGTAAAGGAGATGACCAGAGACTGTGGGACATACTACAGGAGATGACCAGAGACTGCAGACATACTAGTACAGGAGATAGATGACCAGAGACTGCAGACATACTACAGGAAATGACTAGAGACTGCAGACATACAACATGAGATGACCAGAGACTGCAGACATACTACAGAGATGAGATGACCAGAGACTGCAGACATAGTTACAGGAGAGACCAGAGACTGCGGACATGGTACAGGAAAAGACCAGAAACTGCGGACATAGTACAGGAGAGACCAGAGACTGCAGGACATAGTACAGGAGATGACCAGAAACTGCGGACATAGTACAGGAGATGACCAGAGACTGCGACACAGTACAGGAGATGACCAGAGACTGCGGACATAGTACAGGAGATGACCAGAGACTGCGGACATAGTACAGGAGATGACCAGAGACTGTGGACATAGTACAGGAGATGACCAGAGACTGTGGACATACTACAGGAGATGACCAGAGACTGCAGACATACTACAGGAGATGAGATGACCAGAGACTGTGGACATACTACAGGAGATGACCAGAGACTGTGGACATACTACAGGAGATGACCAGAGACTGCAGACATACTACAGGAGATGAGGTGACCAGAGACTGTGGACAAACTACAGGAGATGACCAGAGACTGTGGACATACTACAGGAGATGACCAGAGACTGCAGACATACTACAGGAGATGAGATGACCAGAGACTGCGGACATACTACATGAGATGACCAGAGACTGCAGACATACTACAGGAGATGATGACCAGAGACTGTGGACATAGTACAGGAGATGACCAGAGACTGCAGACATAGTACAGGAGATGACCAGAGACTGCGGACATAGTACAGAAGATGACCAGAGACTGCAGACATAGTACAGGAGATGACTAGAGACTGCAGACCTTTTGGGAGCAGGTACCCGAATTTGACAGGTACCCGCTCCCACTTGTGCTGAGTTTTCCTCCCCGTAGTCTTGTGGGACACATGACAGGTCCCAGAAGACAACGGGACCATTCACAAAGCGCAGCGCTTCTCACACATGTGCAGTGGGCACCCGGCTGTGAAGCCACAAGCTGTCACAGCTGGGTGCCCACACTGAAGATGCTGGCGCTGGGGAGAGAAGACAGCCGGTGAAAGCAGGACACCGCTGGACTAAGGAGCAGGTTCTTCTGCACAGTAGAGCCGAGCGCCAAGCCCGGTATTTTAACATGGCAGAGGCGGGAATACAGGGCCGGCCGCTCCATAAGACGCACAGACATTTTTTTTGGGGAAAAAGTGCATTTTATGGAGCGAAAATACGGTATATTGAAGTATCAAATATAAGTATTGTTTTTATTAGGGATGCCGATTGCGAATATTTTCATGAGTACTTGTACTTTTGAAAATACTCCTGATATCTTAACTTTGTATTGATACTTTGTTGTGTAGTATGTAAGCGCAATAGTTAGGCTGCAATATAAGAGAGAGAAGATGCAGGTTTCATCATGCTATAGAAATTATAGTGTATTAATTGCGAAACAGCAAACATTGTACAGTGGCTGTACAGTACAGCTCCAGATGGCATTGGGCATTAGTTGCCGTTTGGAGCTGCAAAAAAAAAAGCTACACTATAATCACTCCCAAGTTCATCAGTCATAGCCCCACTTGTCCAACTCATTGTGCTTCTCTGGGTGGCAGATTCAGTGCCCCAAATTCTCTTTCTGTCTTCCTTTCTCTCTTTTTTTTTCTATTTTTCCTATGTATTTAGATGTTTTACTTTCTGTATTTTTTTGGCATTGATGATAAATATGGTTGTATTGCACTAGCATAAACTCTCTCCTCGCTGGTACTCAACATCCAGTTGTATTTTTTTAGATATTTATTTTCCTATCTCCTTATAGTCGGATCACTGGAGGCAGAGTTGTTTGGGGAAAACCTGCAGCCATAGGCTGCCTGCCTTACCACAAGGTAAAGCAAAGGGCAGGCAACAGAAATTGGAGGCGGAAAATACTATGGCCAGGGGAAGGGCAAACATAAGCAAAAATTAAAAATAGATTAGATTTCTATGTCATATGCTGCATACTATTCTCTAAAAACTGTTAAAAAAAAATGACAGACAAGACTTACAGGAGAGGTAGTGGTGCTGCCACATAATGGTAATAGGTGGCGTAATGTGACCTCTTACCCCTCCTTCCTCTCCATTTCCCTTCTTCACCCTCTACACCACCCATTCCCTATCTTCCTATACCTCTACCTCCTCTTCCCCCTTCTACTCCTCCTCTTCCTCCTTTACCTCGTCCGCCCCAGTGTCATTATAGCTTGAGGAGATGTTTTGGGGAGCTGGGGCATTCTTTACCCTTCCAGTGGCTCATCACACAGGAGTTAGTAAAGTGGCTGGTGAAAACCTTTCTCTTCTTACACCTCCCAGACCCTCCCATGTGGTTAAGGCTTGAGGACAGCCTCTCGAGAGTAGTTTGTTTTTTACTCTGTGATTGGTTCATTGCACAGAACGTAGTGAAGTGGTTGACAAAACCTTTTTTTTATTCCTCTGAAGCACAGAGCAGCCAGGTGTCTGCAAGTGCTGCTAATGCTGCTTTACTGCCTCCTCCATTCTTAAGCACTTTCCGTCTATAGGATGTGCCTGAACGTCCTTGGATGGGAAGGGCAATATCTTGGTCAGTGAGATATATCATTCTTTAGTGCCAGCGATTCAGCAAAAATAGAAGCAATTTGAGTGGCTAAAGAACCGATGGATTAATTTTAAAGGAGGTGAAAGGGGGTTCATCCCACCTCCGCTGCCTTTAGTAGGCTCTCCTGTGCGATTGGGGAGCCCGGTAAGAATGTGTCTAATGGCATCCTTTTCCTGAGAGACAGTGGAATGAACATTGTGTGAAGTCAGAAAATGGAAGCAACAAGGATTTTGTCACTTCCAGTTTCTGTCTGTTGTTTACTGGCCATTGCCAGCTAATGATAGGTTCGGATAGTAAACAGAATTCCCATAATAATTGCTATTTTCCAAAATTGATAATTTACTTTTTTTTTAGATTGCTGAAGGATTCATACAGTTTGCCGGTTCTGACAGTGGGGAGCCTTTCACCTGGCTGCAGATCACTTGCTCTACTACCTTTGCCTAATCAGGTGTGGCCTCTCTAAGTGTCAGGGATGCGGGTGTGACCAGAAGTGTGTGGACTGACACAGGGAAACGTAGGCTTCAGATATAGTAAATAATATAATTTATTGAGACTAACAATACAAACATAAACGCAGTGCACCAAACCCCAAGCTAACACAAATACATACAACAAGGTGAAACAAACCCAAACCTAAACTGATATAGATACACAGGTACATACACATATAGAGCACAACGTAGTCAGGCAGGCCGGGTCGATAACTATCGGGCAGGTAGGTACAGGAGGAGCAGGCGGAGAGAATGGTCAGGGTCACAAGCCAGGGATCAAACAGGAGAAGTCAGCAGAGGTCAGGATCAGGCAGGGTCGGCAACAAGTGAGGCAGAAACAGGAACAGGAACAGGAATGCCGGTTACAAGATACAGGGGCCCATGGAAAAACACACACCAAGGCCCTGACTGTGAGTCTGGCCATTCCTTAAATACAACCCCTGCAATCAGCTTCAGGTGTTTGGCTGACTGCAGGGGTGAGTCTCTGATTGCTGAGAACACCCGCTGGCCAGCCCTGGTACTGCAGCCCACAAGGCAGGTGAGTCCCACCGTTATTGGCAAGTCCATTCCTGACACTAAGCTACAGAGGGAGGAAAGCTAATAATCTTACCTTCCCTGGGTGTGTTCAGAAACCAATGAAGTTGCAGCAAATGTGCCTGTATGTGAGTATGGTGAGTAAATGAGCACTCTACTACACTGGTCACCAAGGAGGCCATGTTTGTGACAGAGCAAATGTAATAAAAAGCAGCCTAGCCATTCAAACTGGCACCAACAGGAAATGATCTCACTTTTTCCCTATGAACTAATATGACTGAGGTTTTACAAAAATTAGTTCAACTCGTACATTGACTAACAAATTCACCCAACACCCACATGTGAATTGGATGTTTGAGCGCATATTCTGTTCTAGAAATTGTTTAGGTTTTTCATTATCCTGAGTAAACCTTTCTAGGGACAAAGTGAATAAGCAACTCAATACTTTGATTTTTTTCCCCTCAATGTCTGCTTCTAGAAAAGAAGAAAAAAACTGAAACGCTTAATGTATTACTAATTGGCTGATGATTTATTGTCACCATTTTCCCTCATATAAAACTGACAAAGTCTTGGTTGATAAACCCTGATATATGTCAGATTTAGTGGCTTTATGATAAAGGAGACTGCAGAGTGGCGACAGCTGGCTGCTTCAGCAAACACGTCATAGATCTATCTACCTACACCCCAAAGGAATGTTAATCATTATCTGATATAATAAACACTTGTAGATGTTCAAAGCAAATGGAACAAGGTGAGTGGTAGAAAAAATAACTGCAGCCAATCCAACAACAGCAAAACCCATAGAGACAGGAAATGTTATTATATGTTAATTATTAACTACAGTTAATGATTAAGGACAGCGGTGGGTGAAGCCTGCAAGGGGCTAAGCCTGGACTGGGAATCTAGCCACAACGGTTATTGCCAAAAGGATTGGCCTAAGTGTCTACGGGGTCGACTTACTAAAACTGGAGAGTGCCAAATCTTGTGCAGCTCTGCATAGAAACCAATCAGCTTCCAGTTTTTTTTTTTGTCAAACTTAGAAGCTGATTGTCTACCATGCACAGCTGTACCATATTTTGCACTCCAGTTTTGGTAAATCAACCCCAATGTGTGCAATAATGCTTCCTCTCAGTAAGTTTTCTACAAGAGCAACATTCATTGTTCATCCTTCGGTTGCTTCCAATATATTATTTAGTAATAATTTATAAATATTAATGGCCTATTTAATTAAATACATTTTGATAGTTGTACAAATATGAACCAGTTTCAGATTTTGCCACTGCTTCATTCACTTTGTCTTGTGTACAGCTTCATGCACACATACCGCTCAGGATTGAAAAATCATCAGCAGGTAGTGGGGGTTCCTCCAAAGTGCAGAATAAAGAGTGTCTGAATTACGCTTTAGGGTCGGGATCCTCAAGATTTATATTTACATCAATAAAGGCTCAGATTTGATGGATACTGTAAATATTTGCCCATCCAAGAGAGAATAAACAATGGGTCTTTTACTGCCCATTGAAGATTTGTTGTCTGTAGTAGTGATGCATATTTGTGACTACCAGGGCTGCGGATAAGGCAATACAACCAATCCTGTTGTATGTGTACATAATCCTGCACTGCATTCTCAATTGTTACAGACAGCTGTCCACTGCCTTCCCTGGTGGCGGAGTGATCTGACTGTCATGTACTGTATTTGCTCCGCTTCACTCTCGCAGGTATCAGGACATATGTAAGCAGGCAGGGAGCAGTAAAACTAATCCCCATGGTGCGCAGGGTGAGGACTGGAGTTACACATTCTTTTTTTTTTTTTTTTTTTTTAAACTTAAATCTTTTATCAAACTTTTTTTCCATTACAAAAACACAGCAAAGTATCATTTACAACCAAAATACGAACATTCCCCTAAGTTTTGCAATCCAACCCCCTCACCCAAACCCCCTTACAATTTACTCTGGTCCATATAGCTCTTCCCTTCTCTTTCCAACTTTCCATTCTATACCTGTAATCTTTCTCCTCAGTCCTCCGACTCTTCCTTTTTCTTACTATTCTTTCTTTCCCTCCAACCTTTCTTTTCCCTTCTCCTATTCCTGCTACCATCCTACAAAACATTCCCTTTATTCTCCTACCTCAAATCAGATCCCTGGGCCTCCCAATACGTCAATGTATTTTCCAGATGCCTTGGAGTCAGACCATCTTCCCCATTCCTGTCTAAATTTACCATATTACCTTCGTCTATATGGTATAACTCCTCAATCTTATTTATATATTTTACCCTGTCTAACCAGACCCTCATTGTTGGAGGTTCCTGTACCTGCCAAAATTTAGGAATAAGCCCTTTAGCCGCACTAATTAGATGGTATAATAGACTATTTTTATACCGCTTCACTGGTACTTCTGTCTTATAAAACAAACACACTGATGGATTCTTCTATATAGTTGTCCCCAATATCTCTTGTATACTGTAAACTGGACTACATCTTGCCAAACCCCCTGTATTTTT